TTAGGACTTCTGCCATTCTATGGGTCTGCTGTGTATCTCACTTCCCATGTTGGATCATTCTCTCCCTTTTTGATTCTATCAGCTAGTATTTGCAGACACTAGTCTTGTTTATGTGATCCCTTTGGTTCTTAGTCCTATCATTATGATCAATTGTGCACAGAAATTGATCACTGGGACTAGTGAGATGGCATTGGTACATGCCACCTTGATGGGATTGAATTGGAATCCCCTGGTATGTTTCTAACTCTACCGTTTGAGGTAAGTCAGCTTGAGCATGTCCCGAATTGCACATCTCTTCTAATGAAGAACTGGATTAAGGATTCCTCTGGGTTGCCTTTAGAAATCTCTCTTTTTTTTAAATAATAGGTAAAATCCAACAATTTTATGTAGTACAAGCAAGTGGTATTTATCCCACGTAAGCAAGGCTGTCAGCATTTTAAAAAATCAATAAATTGGACATACTACACAAACTGCAAAAATGTTAAATGGTTACATCAACTTTTGTAAAAGATATTTGGCATAAAAAAACGAGCAAACAAGAAACAGAAGAGAAATTCCTCATCTAGATAAAGAATATCTACCAAAACCAACTTTAATAGTGAAATTGGACAGTTTTCCCTTAAGTTGGGGAAAGGGGGAAGTGTCTTTTTCTCACCACTACTTTTCAATATTATGGTGGAATTACTAGACAGTGCAGTAACACAAAGAAAGGATACAAAATGCATACATATTGGGAAGGAAGACATAAAACTGCTAGCAAATGTCATTATTGCATGTATAGAAAATTCAAAAGTACATCATAAGTACCCCTGGAATAATGTTAGTGTAGCAAAGTGGCGAATTACATGTACAATTTAATTGTTGTTCCATGTATGGGTAAGAGCTAGGATTTGAAATTTAAAAACAAAATTAAGCATCATTTAAAATTGCATCAGGTTAAAAAGCAAATCCCAATCGGTGTCTTTTAACTGGACAGTTCAGGCCATTAACGTTCAATGTGACTAATGAAAAGTGGTAACTTTGCCCTGCCATTTGCCAAAGATAAGTTCTAATATATGCTTTGAATTCCCTGTGATCTTTTGCTGTGAGGTTTCCTTCCTTTATCTTCTTTCATACTGATGACCGTGTTTCTGTGTTTCTGTGTGTAACACATCTTTAAGCATCTGTTGCAGGGCTGGACGAGTGGCGACAAATTCTTTCAATTTCTGTTTGTTATGAAACGTCTTTATTTCACCTTCATTCACAAATGATAGCTTTGCAGGATATAATATTCTGGGCTGGCAGTTTTTCTCTCTTAGTACCTGGGCTATATCTCGCCATTCCCTTCTAGCTTGTAGAGTTTCTGATGAGAAGTCAGCAGTGAGTCTGATTGGCGATCCTCTGAAAGTAATCTGACGTTTCTCTCTTGCACATTTTAGGATCTTTTCTTTATGTTTCACTGTGGAGAGTTTAATTACAACGTGTCGTGGTGAGGATCTCTTTTGGTCGTGTTTATTAGGGGTTCTGTGAGCTTCCTGTACTAGGATTTCTCTGTCCTTCTCCAAACCTGGGAAATTTTCTGCTAATATCTCACTAAAAAGGCCTTCTAATCCTTTCTCCCTCTCCATGCCTTCAGGAACTCCTAGAACCCGAATGTTGGTTTTTTTTTAATAGTATCCTGAAGATTCCTGACAATATGTTTTAGATTTCTAATTTCCTCTTCTTTTCTTTGATCTGACTGTATCCTTTCCTGTTCTCTCTCTTCTAAGTCCGATATTCTCTCTTCTGCTTCACCCATTCTGTTTGTAAGGCTCTCTAATGTGTTTTTCATTTGATCTATTGAATTCTTCACTTCAGTCACTATCACAGTTTCCTGTTGTACTAATTGTTTCGTTTCATTTTGATTCCTCCTTAATATTTCATTTTCACGAGAGAGATTTTCTATCTTGTCCATTAAGGCTTTATGTAGTTCAAGAATTTGTTTTTGAGAACTTCTTAATGTTCTTATCAATTTTTTGAGATCTGCTTCTTGCATTTCTTCTATGTCATCATCTTCATAATCTTGAATTGGGGTGTCTTTTTCATTTGAGGGCGTCATGGTGACTTCCTTGTTTTTATTACCTCGGTTTTTGCATTTGTTATTTGGCATATTGGAGATATTTGGTTTCTTCACTGTGGTGCTTTTTCTTGTTATACTATGACTCTAGATTAAGTGGACTATCTGTTTTTGATGGAGCCTTAGGGCTTGAGATGGGTGTGGCCTGAGAGCTCTGTTTGGTGTCCCAAAGGTGACACTCCCAGGTTAGGAGTGGTAAATCTCTCTTTCTCTCTCTTTCTTTTTTTGATTCAAAAGGGAAGTAATTCCGCACAGCTGAACGAAGTTGGAGGTAGTTAGCAGGCAAATGATATACCCACAGGAGCCAGAGATCGGAAGCTCTTTCCCAAGGACCACACAGGGAATCTGTTTGGCCCTCAGAGTGGGTTCAAATTCTCCTTCAGTCTCCCACTGGGTTGCCAAAGTTACGGAATTGTAGCGTCTCTGGAGAGTACTCAGGTGAATTCCGTGAGTTCTCTCCCCCACCGTCTCTTTTTTCACAGTGTCAGTTCAGTAGCACCACAAATTTACTAGGTCCTAATCTCCTGTTAATTCGCCCCGCCCAGAGTCAGGGTTTTCTGCTAGGCTCAGGGCCGGTGCAGACCTGAGGTCGCTCTGCTTATGACGTATGTCCAAGATGGCGCCTGCTCTTTGTCTTGCTCGCCCTTGAGAGGTGAGCAGAGAGAGAGAAACCCGTGTCCGTACCAGTCACCTTTTTTTTTTTCTCTCTCTCTCTCTCTCTCTTCCAGTTAGCCTGGTGAACTTTTCCCCCCCGGGGGTCGTTCCCTCTAGTCTCCTCTCTCTGCTTGCCTGCCGGTGTCTCGGGCTATTGAGGTTCGGCTCACCTTGCGTTCCAGCGCTGGTGTGTTGAGTCTGCCGCTGATGTCCCGAACTGTGGGCTCCCACGCTCTCCACACAGGTCCGCTGTGAATCACGCGTTCTGGAAGAGTTTCTTCTGCTGTTTCCTCCCCTACTCTTCCTTGAACCTGCAGTATCTCCACTTTTATTAAACTATCTCTCCCCAGACTATCAGTGTGCTCCCTTCCTATTCCGCCATCTTGCCTCTCCCCATATGGTTAAATCTCTTTAAGAGCTCTGCAAGGTAGGAACTGGGATCCCCATTCCAAAAGTGAGATTCTGGACAGGATCAATAATCCGGGACCTTTGATTTAATTTCTTCCTTGGAAGCGTCTTGGACAAATCACAGGTTAATGTGAACTAACTAACTTTTGCTCATATGCTTGCTGATCTGGGGCTAGCATGGGGATGACAGCTGTTCCATTCCTTCAAGGAATGACAACTCAAGAGAAAGAGACCTCCGAAGACTTTCCTGCCTCTTAGGAATGCATTCCCTGTTAGACAATGAGAGTTACTCCAAGCAATCCCTTTTAAAATACATTTGTGTGGTAGAGTTGGAAATTTTTTGCTTATGTATTATGATGAGAACTGAATATCTCACATGAGAGTAGGTTGTATGACTCCTTCCATGTCCATGTAATGAAGCTCCTTGGTGGACATGTGATAGGTGTGAGAGAGAAGGTAACTGAGAAGTAGGCAGAAAAGATTCGGATAAAACACTGCAAGAGCATGGACAAGTGTCAGGTCCTTGTCTCTCTACCCTATGACCTTGAGCAAGATAGGCAGCACCCTGAACTTCAGCATGGACCCAACTTACATGAACTAGAAAACAGAAAAAAATAAAAGCTACTTTTGGAACTTTGGGAAGATCAAAACATACCGCTTAGAATGAACAAGCACAGTCATAAATTCTCCATCACAGAGAGACATTTATTGCTCTACTCATACTCTTAATGTTGTTTCAGCAGGGGACAGATCTACAAGGAACTTGGACCTCTTGCCTGGGACCTTTAAATGAAGCTTTCACTGTGGAAGAGGACTTGTCCCTTGGTCTTCTACTCCCAGTGCAGCTTTAAACTGACCCTCTCTATTTTCCCGTTTCTCTCTGGAAAGCTACAAGCTGGTTTCTTGAAAGCCTGTGCCTAGTGGACCACAACTTTTTGTTCTCTTGTTAGTTTATGTTTTACATCTAATGAGTCAACACAAACCTCTAGTCTTTACTTTGCCCTCTCCTTCTGGAAGCTCAGGGACAAAGAACACACTAACCTGCCTTTCAGTGCATTTGTTAAACTCTGCCTAAGCAAGGCCTCTCCAGAGTATGAAGCCACACAGGTTTGTTTTTTTTTTTTTTTTTTTTTTTTTTTTTTTGACAGGCAGAGTGGACAGTGAGAGAGACAGAGAGAAAGGTCTTCCTTAGCCGTTGGTTCACCCTTCAATGGCCGCCGCAGCTGGCGCACCGCGCTGATCCGATGGCAGGAGCCAGGTACTTATCCTGGTCTCCCATGGGGTGCAGGGCCCAAGGACGTGGGCCATCCTCCACTGCACTCCCGGGCCACAGCAGAGATTAGCCTAGTGAGCCGCGGCGCCGGCCTGCCACACAGCTTTATACCTGCAAGGCAGCATCTCAGAGAAAGCAATTCCTTTAAACATATTTATTCATTCATTCATTCATTCAGGTATTTATTTATTTGTTATAGATTCATTTTAAAAGCAAGGTCTTACTGTCACTTAGAAATATTTGTGGCTGGCGCCGCGGCTCACTAGGCTAATCCTCCGCCTTGTGGCACTGGCACACCGGGTTCTAGTCCCGGTCGGGGCGCCAGATTCTGTCCCGGTTGCCTCTCTTCCAGGCCAGCTCTCTGCAGTGGCCAGTTAGTGCAGTGGAGGACGGCCTGAGTACTTGGGCCCTGCACCCCATGGGAGACCAGGATAAGCACCTGGCTCCTGCCTTTGGATCAGCGCGGTGCGCCGGCCGCAACGCGCCAGCCGCGGCGGCCATTGGAGGGTGAACCAACGGCAAAGGAAGACCTTTCTCTCTGTCTCTCTCTCTCACTGTCCACTCTGCCTGTCAAAAAATATATATATTTGTTAGAAAGCCATGCATCAAATTGTTCACAAAAGAAGGGGCAGCTTAATGATGTTGGCTGAAGTATGGTACATCCATGTCATGGCATACTATGAAAGCATTAAAGAAGCAAGATCTCTATTTTATTTTAACATGGAAAGATATTCAAGACATATTCTAAAAAAAAAAAAAAAGGAAAAGGTACAGAAGCACAATTCCACTTTTTGAAAAAAAATACTTACTTGTATTTATTTAAAAAGCAAAGCAACAGGAGTGGGGGGGAGGGAGAGAATCTCCCATTTGCTGGTTCACTTTCCAAATGCTCACAACAGACAAGGCTAGGCCAGACCAAAGCTGGGATTCTAGAAGTTAATTTCAATCTCCCACAAAGGTAGCAGGAACCAAGTATTTGAATTGTCACCCACAGCTCTCTAGGGTGCTTATCAGCAGGAAACTAGATGGGAAGTAGAGGAAGGACTTGATCCCTGGTGCTCCGCTGTGGGATGCATGGGTAAGTGGAGGCTTAGACCACTGTACCACAATGACCGCCCCACCATTATCTTACTTTTGCTTAGAAAAAGTCTCCAAATAGAGATGCTAATATTTACTGCTGAGTCATGTATTATTTTTCTTTTTGATCTATATCTGACAATTTTCTATTATGCACAAAGATTGATTTTGTACTATAAAATAGTTAAAATTAACTTTTAAGGGCAAGCCATCCTGTCATTACTTATACATTGCTTACTAGACAATGATAATAAAACTAGCCACTGAATTGTTGCTAAGCGGATATAGAGTTTCAGTTTAACAAGAACAAGATACTCATTGTATGACAACATGAATGTACTTAACACTTCTGACTTACACACTTACACATGAGTAAGATGATCAACGTTATGTTACATATGTTTTACCACAATTTGAAGTTTTTAAAACCTAACAAAGATGTTAAAAGTGAATGGGTTACTGGATTCGCGTATCTGGTAGGGATAAATATCAGTAACGTCAGGGTAAAGACACTGAGATGTCTTCTCTACTGCTGTCAGCGCTTCAGAAAAACCTCATGAGTCTCAGTTACGTTCTTCTTCATAGACAATGAGCCAGCTTTACAGTGCTGCAGTGGGTTACTCCATTTCAGCAAGATTTATTTAGATCCGCAATTAATATCAACTTACAGACTTCCCTCCACAGTTTATAAAATTGCTCTCCATGTGGCAAAGTTGTTTAACTTATGCTTGAGAAAAATTCAATGGGTTGTATTAATGCTGATTGCCCTCACTGATTACTCAGTCTGCTTTCTCTAGGATCACTTTTCTCCTTGAACCTTCATGATATTTACCCAAAATTGTGCAACCCTCTCCCGAGCCATGATTGGAAACTACAGTAGAGAATGATTAAGCAATTCCAATGGGATACTGTAAAGCTCAAGGAACTGAAAATGCCAAACCACGTGTATTTACATGAAAAGTAATCCACAGAGAAATATGTAAGTATGAGTGTGTGTGAGTGTTTTTATTTCAACCAGGTGCTAAAGAGCAAATTGTGCTCACACTTTGTAACCACGTGGCCTTACAAGTAGATCCCTCCAGCACTTCCTTACGTTGGAGTTTCCACTCCACTTTTCTCTCTTGGCTGCTGGTTGTTTTGGGCTCTTAAATTATTTAAGGCTTCATATCTTCTTTTTGATGTGTTTTCCTTTCCCCTGCTTTCCCATTTTCGATTCTGAATATGAAAGAAAAGAAGAAACATAACAATAACTCCAAAATAGCTTCATAGATAGATTTGACTAGTCCTTACTTAACCCACTTTCAGCACTAAACCTGGCTTCTCTCTAGTATTTATCCTTTTCAAAGACTCATAAGCTTTAATGATGCACCCTCTAGTCTCCACATGAGTTAGCTTTATTATTTTGAAATTATTTTATTATTTTTATTATTATATTAATAAATAAAATTTATTATTATTTTGGAAATAGTACTTCCTTTATGTTTACTTGCCTGGCAATATTACTGATTAATTCAGAACTCAAACTTTTCAGCATTCTTTTCACTGTCAAAACAATATGTTCTTTAAATCCCAACTCATCTATAATTTCAAGGAATTTGTAAAAGTCAGTTTAACTTAATAAAGTACTTGAAATCCTCCGATCCCAATGTCTAAATACTATGTTTTTAATTTGTCTGTGTATATATATACACACATAGTTATTTATTTAAGTTTTATTTATTTATTTGAAAGGCAAAGTTACAAAGAGAAGGAGAGACACAGAGAGAGATCTTCCATCCTCAGTTCATTCTCCAAATGGCTGCAATGGCCAGAGCTGTGCTAGGCTTAAGCCAGGATGCAGGAGCTTCATCTGGGTCTCCCGTGTGGGTGGCAGGGATCCAAGAAGCTGGACCATCTTCCACTGCTTTCCTATGTGCATTATCAGGGAGCTGGATCAGAAGTAGAGTAGCCGGGATTTGAACCAGTGCCCATTTGGGATGCCGGTGTGGCAGATGATGGTTTAACCTACTACTCCTCCAAACCACAGGCCTAAATTTGTATATATTTTGAGGAATTTTTCAGATTTAGATTTTTAAAATATTTATTTAGAGGGAATCAAAGATGGCTGAATAGGGTACAGCCATGCTAACTTACACTGCTTTGGGTTATAAAAAGAACAAAGGACAGACTATATTTCCAGGAGTCTGACTAATGGAAATTTTCAGCCAAGATGTGAAAAAAAGAAAAAAAAAAAAAGGCTCCATGGGAGAGAAGACAGAGACATTGCTGCAGTCGGCCACATAGCACAGCCAGCTGCCGGCCATGAGCCCCCATCTTATCATGCCAAGGTAGGAAAAAAAATACTGTGTGCTCCACTGTTCACAGGTTTTAGCGGAGAGGGAATTCCACAGTCACTCGCTGATTTCACTTCAGCCTGGAGAGCTGACTTGGGTCTGAGCAACTGCCGGGCTTGAAGCAGGGAACCGCATGGCTTTCTTCCCCTTCCCCACCCACACAGCGCGCCATACGCGGCAGCAAACAGCCATGCAGCATGCTCTATTCTGCTCCCACCAGTATCATAATCACAGTCAGGGCAATGTGTGGGGCATAGGACAGATACCCTGCATCTTGCAGCTGTGGGAATTTTTGGGGTATTATTATCAAAGCTATGCTTACATATTCTCTGTGAGACACAGAGATTTGCCTTGGCTTCTGGGAGAAAACAGCAGAAGTAGCCAATAAAAAATATCTGCCTCCACCCTGGGAGATCTGGGTAATAATCCCACTATACCCTGCAACACCAGGAATGTAGTAATTCATTCTGAATTTCTCAGTGCCATTGGAATCCACCCGGTAGACATAGGGAAGGACCTACTTGCATCCCATCTCTATACTCATACCCTCCAGAGTAAAATCTTCTGTATACCTTGCAGTCACCCTGTAAGACTGGAACAGGGTTCAGTTCATACTCTCTACTCCTAGGACTAATCCTGCTGGAATTATAAGCCACAGCATCAGTTGGTTTCTCCTAGCAGGATCTGAGGAAGAGTCCATCTGTATCACACTGCCTTAGAGCCACAGCAATAGGTGCCACAAGTCCCAGCATTACTCAGGCTTGCCAGTAGGACAAGGGGTCAGCCAATGCTATGTCCCTCAGCACCAAGAACAAGGCCCTGGCCATTACATTCACCAGGGAGACTGGCACCAAACTCTGTGGACCAAAGATACACACCCAAGGAAGCTCTTATTCATCACAAAGCCTCATTCCTATCCCTGTGAACTACAGTAGACTAGACCGCTATGTCACTTATAGACACAGCTGACTTTGATTAAGAAAATGAAAAAGTCACTCAGAGACTACACTCCCAGGCTCACCTAGGACCAAAGTCAAAGCAACAAGCCAAGTGATATTCTGTATTCTAGCTAAATCATAATCTCTTTTCCAATAAAATCTACTCCATAAAGAAGGGACAAGTACACTGGATAGTTAGATGTCAGCACAGGGACACAGGAGACAGGAAGAAGCAAGGTAGCATGACACCTCCAAAAGATGACAAAAATCCTCCAGAATTAGATCCTGACCTGAAGGAAAATGCATGAAATGATAGATATAGAATTCAAAATAATGAGGGTAAGGAACCTCAATGAGATGCAAGAGAATACAGATAGACTAAAGAAATTAGGAAATCAATGAGTGACATGAATGAAAATATTACTAAGAAGTTAGAACTCATTAAGAAGAACCAAATATAAATTTTGGAGACAAAATCTTCAATCAGTGAAATAAAAAATAAGATTGAGAGCTTTACCAGCAAAATAGACCAAGTGGAAGAAAGGATTTCTGACTTGAGGACAAGAATTTTGAAATAGCCAAATCAGACAGAAATAAAGAGAAAAATATTAAAAAGAATGAAGAAATTCTAAAGAAAATATGGGGCACCAGTGAATGACCAAATATTTGTATTATACGTATTCCTAAAGGAAAAGAAAAGGAAACAGGTAAAGAGAACATGCTAAATGAAATAATAGTTGAAATTTTCCCAGGTCTTGAAAAAGACATGTACATCCAGAAACAAGAACCTCAAAGCTCAATAGGCTAATCCTCCACCTTGCGGCGCCGGCAAACCGGGTTCTAGTCCCGGTTGGGGCGCCGGATTCTGTCCCGGTTGCCCCTCTTCCAGGCCAGCTCTCTGCTATGGCCAGGGAGTGCAGTGGAGGATGGCCCAGGTGCTTGGGCCCTGCACCCCATGGGAGACCAGGAAAAGCACCTGGCTCCTGGCTCCTGCCAGGATCAGCGCGGTGCGCCGGCTGCAGCGGCGGCCATTGGAGGGTGAACCAGCGGCAAAGGAAGACCTTTCTCTCTCTGTCTCTCTCTCTCACTGTCCACTCTGTCTGTCAAGAACAATAAAAAGAAAAAAAAACAAACAAAGAACCCTAAGAAGACTCAACCAAAAAAGGTTTTCTCCAAGCATATTGTTGTCAAATTGTTAAAAGCTAAAAATAAGGAGAAAATCCTAAGGACAGTAAAAGAAAAGCACCAAGTTACATATAAATGAAAGCCAATTAGGTTAACATTAGACTTTTAGCAGAAACCATACAGGCCAGAAGAGAGTGGAATGATATATTCAAGGTCTTAAAAGAAAAAAAAAAAAAAACTTCCAACCAAGAATAATATATCTAGCAAAGCTATCCTTTAAAACTGAAGGAGAAATAAAGTGTTTTCCAGATACACAAAAGCTGACAATTCACTATCACCACACCAGCCTTACAAGAAATTCTGAATGGTGTCCTGCATTAGAAGTAAACATGAAACACATGTTACCCAAAAGTCACCAAGAAAGCAGGTAAAATCATTATCCAATCAACAAAATTACAAGTCATAGTTCTCATCTATCAATACTAACTTTGAATGTAAATGGATTAAATTCACCAACTAAAAGACTTAGGTCAGCTGAATGGATTAAAAAAAAAAAACAGGACCCCACTAAATACTGCCTAAGAGGAACTCACGTCACAAAGATATACACAGACTGAAAGTGAAGAGTTGGAAAAAGATAAATCAGGCAAATGGAAATCAAAAATGAGAAGCATAGCTATCCTGATATCAGATAAAACAGACTTTAAATCAAAAACTGTAAAAAGAGATAAAGAAGGGCATTATATTTTTAAAAGGTTCCATACAGCAAGAAGACATATCAATCATAAATACATATGCACACAACACAACACCTAGATATATACAGAAAATACTATTAGACATAAAAGACACAGACTTCAATATAATAACAGTGGGTGATTTCAACACCCCACTCTCATCAATGGACAGGTCATGCAGACAGAAAATCAATAAAGGCACATCATAGTTGAAACATACTATCGAACAAATGGATCTAACAGACATTTACAGGACATTTCACCCAACAGCAACAGAATACATATTTTCATCAGCACAAGGAACATTTTCTAGGATAAATCCCACATTAGGCCACAAACCATGTCTCAGCAAATTTAAAAAGATTAAAATCATGTCATGTTACCTTCTTAGGTCATAAAGGAATAAAACTAGAAATCAAAAGAAGAAAAATAGAACACTCATGAATACTTGAAAATTGAATAACATGCTACTGAATGAATGATAGTCACTGAAGAAATTAAAAAGGAAAGTAATATCTTTCTTGAAATAAATGAAAATGAAAACACAACATATCAAAACCTGTAGGAATACACAAAAGCAGCATTAGGAGGGAAAGTTATAGCATTAAGTACTTATATTAAAAAAAGAGAAATGTCTCAAATTAAAGATCTAATGATCCATCTTGGAAGACAGAAAAACAGGAACAAACTACACTCCAAATCAGCAGGAGGTGAGAAATAATAAGGATCAGAGCAGAAATAGATGAAATTGAAACTAAAAAAAATCATACAAAAGATCAACAAAACAAAAAGTTGGTTATTTTTTAAAAGATTTATTTATTTATTTATTTATTTGAGAAGCAGAGTTATAGAGAGAGGGAGAGACAGAGAGAGGACTTCCATCTGCTGGTTTATTCTGCAAGTAGCTGCAATGGCTGTAGCTGCGCCAATCTGAAGGCAGGAGCCAGGAGCTTCTTCTGGGTCTCCCATGTGGGTGCACGGGTCCAAGCACTCAGGCCATCTTCTGCTGCTTTCTCAGGGCGTTAGAAGAGAGCTGGATGGGAAGTGGAGCAGCTGGGACCCGAAGCAGCGCCTATATGGGA